CTTCTTCTCAGCTGGCTGGTGGAGGACACTTAAAAAGAAATTAAAAACCACTAAAATGGCAAATGTGCTGGCTGAGAGGGCCCCTGCAGTCTTGAAAAACAAGAGCCTCCCCTAGAAACAGCACTCCGGCCTCCTAATAACCTTAATCGCTCCCGACAGCCCCAAGAACCAGGTTTAACAACATGACTGGGCTTTGTTTGCTTTTCAGGCTGCTTTATCTCACACGGCACCTTGCAATCAGCTCAGGCAAAACCCCAGCTCCTCCACAACTCCCCACTATTTCCCTGTAATCTCCAGTTCCCAAAACAGAGGCAGCTGAGCTGGGGGAGAGCCTGGTGCTGGCACATTTGGCATCCCACGGCAGGGAACCCCAGTAAATCTGAGAAAGCTCTGTGCTGCCCTTTGTACTCCCYGGCTAGCAGGGCAAGGTTATAAAAACATCTTTTTTATCTCTTTTTGCTGGATTTACATCCCCATCTGGCTGTAAGGTAAATATTGTTCATGTCAGTGCATCCCTCCGTGGCGTTATGGGAGGGTTGGAACCCGGATGGACRTGGGAAAGGCCCCAGGAATGCTGAGCTCCACAGCACCCTCAGCCAATAAATCTGTGAAACGGGGCCAGMACAGCACCCTGGTGATTAATCAGAGCTCCAGATTCTGCAGATTTGGGTAAGGAGGGCCCTCAGGAGATGGGAGCCCCTCAAGTGCCAGCACTGGACAATGACCCCCATCTCAATTTAGTGGGATCATTTCCAAGAATTACCTCTTGCAATCAAAAGCAACTTGGCCAACAGGGTGAGGGAGGGGATTCTCTCCTCCTCTAAAGGGGCTACAAGAGAGCTGGGCAGGRACAGGACACAGGGAATGGCTTCCCAGTGCCAGAGGGCAGGGATGGATGGGATATTGGGAAGGAATTGTTCCCTGGGAGGGTGGGCAGGCCCTGGCACAGGGTGCCCAGAGAAGCTGTGGCTGCCCCTGGATCCCTGGCAGTGTCCAAGGCCAGGCTGGACATTGGGGCTGGGAGCANTGCCAGAGGGCAGGGATGGATGGGATATTGGGAAGGAATTGTTCCCTGGGAGGGTGGGCAGGCCCTGGCACAGGGTGCCCAGAGAAGCTGTGGCTGCCCCTGGATCCCTGGCAGTGTCCAAGGCCAGGCTGGACATTGGGGCTGGGAGCASCCTGGGACAGTGGGAGGGGTCCCTGCCATGGCAGGGGTGGAATGGGATGGGCTTTAGGGTCCCTTCCAACCCAAACCATTCTGTGATTTACCCTCACCTTGGGATTTCTCTTCTCAGCTCCTAAAGCTCCAGCCACGGTCACCCACCCAGGGAATCACCCAGAGAGGAGTCCTTTTTCCTCTCCCTTTCATGTCACTGTCAGCACTGAAATGCTTTATTTTCTCCAAAACCAAATTCACTCATTCTTACCAAACCTCCATTACAACGCTGGAGGTAAAACCAGCCTTTTCCATCTGTGCTCAACTGTCCTAAGGATGTGCAATCAGCACAAAGAAATTCTCCAGCAAAACAGATGGAACTCAGGAATAAAGGTGGCACCAGCTCTCCTTTGGCCTTGAGATCTGGTCAGTCCAGGACTATGGTCCATGAGCCATTCCAGTGTCCCTGAGCACAGGGAGCTCCAGGGGTTGCTGCTTCCTGGGCTGGAGAGGGGAAGCTGCCCCTCAAATTCTTGCACACACATCAGAGGATGCTGATGGACACTGGGATGTGTCCATACACAGGAGCTGCTGCCAAACCAGACCAGCTCTTCAGGCCATCTCTCCCAGGGCTTTCAACTCCATTTCCAGGAATCAAAACATTAAATATTAAGCAAAGAGAGTTAATCTATACCTGGGATATTGACACAAAGCAGAGGYGGGGAGAAGAAAAAGGATAAATAGACTCAAAAAAAAATACATCTCTGCAGGCCATCTACCTCGGGCACAGCACCAARGATGTGTTTGGAGGGACAGGGTACACCAAGAAGTGCCACCTTCCTGGCTCTCCCCAGGTAGCTGGGGCACCCCTCTGGGACCTCCCTGGCTGAGAGCACAGCCCTGGTCAGGGACAAGGTCACCTTGTGGTCCCCTCTCCCAAGACTGGGGCAGCAGCCAAGCAATGACAGAGCAGACATGGAGGTGAGAAGGTCCATGTCCAGTTAATGCTTACCAGAACTGTCCTGCCACTCAGAAGGGATTTGGAGCTGGGGAAGATGAGGTGCTGGGATGGCTCACCTGTCCCCTGGCTCASTGTCAGCCCCGCTGTGGGACCAGCACCGGGACAGCCACAGATCCCTCAGCACCACAATGAGCCTTGTACAACCAGAGSGAAACGTCACCACTCATCTCCCAGCAAACACCCTCAAGCATCACTCAACACCTCTCCAGCAAAGCTAGATTCTTTTTTTTCCTAGCCGAGTGCTCACATGTACATTATTTTTTTKTATTCCGGTCTCAGCATTCCTCCACTCCCCCCGCAAGAAAACAAACCCGAAAGCACAGAGTGTGCCTTGAAAAGGCCCCGCGCTGGCGTCCCGCGGGGAAGGGGCACGCGGTGGTCGCACAGCCCGCCCGCCCCAGCCCGCCGTGCTTGTTGACATAGGCAGCACAGTATATTTCTTTAAAGAGCGGAGCCTATGCATTCGATGCATTGCTGCCACGGGGTTTGTTTTCAAAGCCTGACCCCAGACCTGAACTCCACGGATCCTGCGTTTCTCAAGATCAAACGCAAGAAAACGTGACCAATGCAAACAAGAAACAAACCTTGATAATTATAGCCGGGGCGGCTATTGTTTAGTGCCGACTAGCACCCGCTTCAGCATAAACAGAACCCTATTTTTAAAGGGATGCCTGACCAGCCGACAGCATTACTGCCCATTTCGCCTCCAAACCCCCTCTTTGATACAAACCCACCTCCCCGAGACCTGGAGGAGGTTTAAGAGCGGAGACAAAAGGCTGAGCCGTGCCCACGGCCATACTGGATGCCGCTGCCGGAGCAGGGAGCGGATCCTCGTCCTCCTGACCTGCTCCGGGTGACATGACGGGGATGAGGGGGATGAGGGGCACCCTGGGCTCCGGCTGTTGCTTGCAGCTGGCGGGCTCGGGCTGACGTCGGAGGACAAACAGACAGCACCGGTCTTTTCAGGAAGGCCRTATCACTTAGCGCTTGGAAAGGAGCTACGATATTTTCCTGATTATGTTTGCACGCAAACGAGCGCCGCGGGGAAATTATGCAATGCTGAGCGGGGAGGGGTGGGAGCGAGGGAGGAAGGGCTGAGGGGGGCCCCAGGCTGCACCCCGCTGTCCTCGGCCCCAGCCGGTGCAGCTGCAGCCCCGAAGGTGCCGCAGATGGGCTCCATCCCCGCCGCCGGAGCCTCGGCACCGCAGCCTGSGAGCCGCGGCTCGGCAGGGGTTATTAACGGCCTCTTCATTAAGCACCCAGACCAAAATGCATATATTCGTCACCCAGGCAATTTAATTACCGAGCCCGGGCTCACCTCGCACACCCACACGCCTTTCTTTCTCGAGGCCTCCGTGCGGTCAAAGCCTTAAATAAATAGATGGCAGGAGCAAGAGGCAGACGCTGACTCCTACAACCTCTGTCTTGGGCACGGAGCCTTTAAACCACCAGAACTCGCAGCATTTAATTTCTTTTGTTACCGCTTCTACCTTTAGAGCCCTGCCTTAGGCTTTCTAGATACAATCACAGGCAGCAGGAAACGGAGAGCTACACTATGAGCTTCCTGGGCATCACACGCGCGCACACACGGCGCGCACACACTGCCGGCCCATCAATCACCCTAATTACCACTGGCCACACGTCCACAGCTCTCTGTGGCACTCCGTTACTGCCCGTAATTACACGATCGCATCGTTTCCCTGGGAAGAGTATCACAGAGTTAATTTGGGACTGTAGATGTGGTGGATCCCGTAATGAATTTCACCCTGGCGCGCTCCCCGCCGCACTCGCCGGCCGTGCGCCAGCTACGGGAGGGAATGCGGGCAGCGCTGGTCCCCAAAACAAGGCTTTAAGGTSCTCACACAGCCCTGGCACTCATCTCTCCCCAGGGCACTCCTGGTTTCTGGCTGCTGCCCACGTCCCACCCAGAGTMAGGACAGCACCACAAGCAGGTTCCCGCAACGTCAAGCGCTCGTCTCCACCCGGCCGCGGGCSCCCGTCACAGGGATGGACACGATCTTCCAGGGACGATAGCAGGGTCTGGGACAAGGCTGAGCCACCCAACACCTGTGACCAGCTGGGACCACCACCCCAGCAGGCCGGTGTCCCCTGCCAAGTCTACATCAACACCAGGATCTTGGCAGCAAGAAACATCCCTTTTCTGCACGTTAACACCACCCAGTCCGTGTCCTGGCCGGGCCTGTAGGTCCTACCAAAACACACAGCTGGGTGCAGCCCACGGATCTTGCTTTTCAGGGATGTCAAGCGCTGGACACCCCGCGCCGCCCTCGGAGTGACCGCGCAGGCGGCGCTGCCAGCCCTGCCCTCGCCGGCCGTGCCGCTGAATGGACAGGGCTCGGAGGAAGCGTGTCAGCCGGGCAGATGCTCTCCTGCAGCCGCCCCCGGCCAGCAAGGCAGCCAGATAGAAAGCTTGAAAACCCATAAAATAGAACAATACTATTGAAAACTAGAGGGGGCGGCTCACACCCAGCAGCTGATTCACCGGCGCTGCTCTGCTTACCCCAAGACAYACCGGCAGGACAAGCTAAGGGCGTTTTTTTTTCAGCCGAATTACTTTTAATTGAGTACATCGGAGCTTAGAAACACATGATGCTTTCGGAGATAAATATAGCCGCGGCTACGAGGATAGAGGGGGCAGGGAGCAATCGAGGTTCAACACAGCCGAGAAGGAGCTTCCAGCTCCGGGAGGCAGCGCCGGCAGCGCCGCCGCACCTTCCCCCGTTCCGCWCGGGCATCCCCGCKCCGCTCGGGCACCCCCCGCCCGCCSTGCCCGGCCCGGGGAAGGGGCCGGAGAGCCCGTACCTGTTTTAAACTCTAGCGCCGGGTCCTTCTTGCCCTCGCCCAGGTCGCTCTGCAGCATCATGTAGAGGATCCCGAAGGAGTTGTGGATGCCGAAGATGGAGCCGTTGCACCAGGCGGCGGCGAAGACCACCACCCAGCCGAAGCCGCCCTCGGGGGGCTGGAAGGGCGCGGCGGCTCCGCTCGGTCCCCGC